TTGGAGTGACTTGCCCACGATTTTCGTTTTCTGTTTTGTTTGTATGTTATCTTCCCAAGCAGGGTACTGTGCTCTGCTCCTCTATTCACTAGTTGACAGCACATATACACTCACCACCTGTCTCCTTTCCTGTTGTCAGCCTCTTGTATGTTCCTGCTGACCTTGGCAAATAGAGCCTTTTCTTAGGTCCCTGGAATCCAAATGAGAATGTGGTGTTCTTTTTTTATTCTTGAATTTGGTTTTAGATTTTTTGATGATTCTTACCAGTTTTATTAAACTTTTGCAAAGAGCTGACTTTAAGCTTTGATCCTCTCTATTGTATTGAAAGTACAAAGGAAGAAGCAAATATAGGACATGATTTTTAATCTCCCTTGGAGATGTGATAAGGGAACTTAGAGTTAAAGTTCATGCTTGTTTCTATTTTAAATTTGAGAACCAAAAAGTAAATACGCTTGAACTCTCTAGGCTACTTATCAAATTCTATTTTTAACTTGTTGTTTTAATATTTCTTCTTTAATTTTGAAGAAAATTAAAAACAAAAGTTTGGGGTTTAATTGTGTTTTTTCTAAATACTTTAGTCTGTTGTGTTTAGTACACATGAAGTTAATACCAGGTTAGATATTCATAAGTAGAATTTGAATCCTATAGCAAAAAGATAATTTATTCTAGTCTTATTGAATCTATGGCTATACTTACTGTATTGTAATGTCATTTTTATGGGGTTTCATTTATTTACAAAATTTTATCCATACCTGTTTTATCCAACGTCTAAGTGATACTCTTATCACTGAATATACCATTCTTACTGATTATAAATTGTAACTCAGAGCTCACAGTGCTTTAGCCATAGTGGCCTCCTTGCAGTTACTTAAACATAATATTCCTTCCTCGGGGCCTTGAGCCATAGTGGCCTCCTTGCAGTTACTTTTAAACATAATATTCCTTCCTTGGGGCCTTTGCACTTGACCAGTGGAATGTTAATGTTTTGTTTTTTGACCAGTGGAATGTTAATGTTTTGTTTTTTGACCAGTGGAATGTTAATGTTTTGTTTTTTGTTTGCGAGGATCCCTGGTGTTGTGGTGGTTAAGTGTTCAGCGGCTAATGAAAAGATTGGTAGTGTGAACCCACCAGCTGCTCTGTGGGTGAAAAATGTGACTGCTTCCTTAAAAATTACAACTTTGAGACACTATAGGGCAATTCTGCTCTGTCCTGTAGGGTTGCTATGAGTCAGAATCGACTCAGTGGGGTGTTTTTTGTTTTGTTTTGTTTTTCTGGTTTTGGTTTTGTTTTCACTGTTTACCAGATCCTGCTCTAAGTTGTAAACACAGTATTTCATAGATTCTGAGATGTGCGGTTTTTTGTATTTTAACATCTCTCAAATTAGGCTACTTTTTTTTTTTTTTAAGGCTTTCAAGACTAGGAATTCATTGTCTCACAGTTTGGAGGCTAGGAGTTATGGAGGGCTATGCTGTGTCTACCATAGAAGAAAATCATTCCTTGTCTCGTTCATCTTCTGACATCCCTGGCATTTATTGGCATTCCTTGGATTGTGGGCAGATCCTCACATAGCATCTTTCCCTGTGTGTATCTCTCTGTGTCTATACTGTCTTTTAATGCTGTTTTACAATGCTTATTTTCTGGGGCTATACGGTTGTTCACAGGCATAAGACATCATTCAAGAGATTAGGTTTAGGACTCACTCTACTCTTATATGACCTTATCAACATAACAAAACAAAGTCAGACTACATCTTAAAATTGCTTTTGGACTGACTGAAGTTGAGTTCTTCCAGAGAAGATTTGTATTTGCTTTTCCTGGTCACTTGCGATTTCTCATTAACAGGAACTCTGGTAGCATAGTGCCTGAGGCATTTGATTGCTAACCAGAAGGCTGGTGGTTCAAACCCACCAGCCACTCCTCAGAAGGAAGGTAGGGCAATCTACTTCAGTAAGGATATCGCCTCGGAAACCCAAGGAGGGGTTGCTGTGAGTTGGGTTCAACTCCACAGCAGTGACTTTGGTTTTGGATTTTTTTTTTTTTTTTTTTTACGTTCTCTGATTGAGGTTTATAGACCACATAAAACCTATTGTCAAATAGTAACCCTGGAAGATGGAAAATGGAATAGAACTGCCCCACAGAGTCATATATAGATAGATAGATAGATAGATACATAGAGATATCTATCTATCTATCTATCTATCTATCTCTATGTATCTATCTATCTCTATGTTGTTGTTATATACCATCAAGTTGGCCCCAACTCATAGCTACCCCTCCTTGGGTTTCCGAGGCAGTATCATTACGGAAGTAGATTGCCCAACCTTCCTTCTGAGGAGTGGCTGGTGAATTTGAACTGCCAGCCTTCCAGTTAGCAATCAAGTGCCTTTAGGCACTGTGCTACCAGAGCTTATGTGTGGTGTGTGTCTGTGTGTGTGTGTGTGTCTGTGTATGTATATATGTGTGTGTGTGTGTGTGTGTGTAATTTTTCCCCCCTTTCCTGTAAGGGACCAGATAGTGGCTGTCAAAATTATTCAGCTCTGTTGTTGTAGCATGAAAATAGCCATAGATATTAGTGTGGCTGTGCTCCAATAAAACTTTATTTATAAAAATAGGGCATGGATCAAGGTTCGTTGACATCTGCACCTGACTACAACAACAAAGCTCCAGATTCAACTCCCAATTTATTGGAAATGTCCAAAACTAACTAAACTCACTGCCATCAAGTTGGTCCCGACTCATAACGACCCCCCTTGGGTTTCTGAGGCAGTATCTCTACGGAAGTACAATCTTCCTTCTGAGGAGTGGCTGATGGGTTTGAACCGCCATCCTTCTGGTTAGCAGTCACATTCCTTAGGCACTATGCCACTTGAGCTCTATATTGGAAATATAGGTGATAGAAAACTAAACTACGCTATAGAAACGCAGATGTCAAAATCAAGATTGTAGGAAACTGTAGTAAAAATGACAGCTCTTCTTTAACAAATTTCAAAAAGAAAGCTTATATGGCAATTTACAGACCAAAGAATTTAAAACGTTGACAAAACTATGTCCATAAGGGTTAGGGAGGCAGACATATGGTAAGACTGAAGGAAAGTAAGGAAAATTGGGACAGATAGAACGCTTGGTAGGAAAAGTATAAAGGGATTGTGATTGGGAGGGATCATTCCAGAGACTTCTGAGGTAGGTGGCTGAATATTTCTATGTTCTGTCACAGTTTGTGATTACAAGGATGTATGCCTTATAATTGGTTAAACTATACATTTATTCATGCAGTTTTCTGCATTTGTATATATCTGACATTAAAAAATTAAAAAAAAAGAAAGTTGGAAAAAGTTACTAAGCAAATGTTAGCCAAAAGACCAAGATTTACTTTTGATGTAGGATGAGCTAGAGACATTTCATAACAATTAAATCTCTATGCACCCAATAGTTGGTAAAGTATGTTGTTGTTGTTGTTATGTGCCGTCGAGTCAGCCCTGACTCATAGCGACCCCTCCTTGGGTTTCCGAGGCAGTATCA